CCACTGTTTGCTGTGTTGGTGTTGGTGTTATTGTGATTCACTATGCTGTTGTTACCGCTGCCGCTGTCGCTGCCGCTGTTATTGTTCCTGTGTGAAGGGGACGTAACGGGTGGGGGCCCGATGTCAGCAGGCAGCTGATCGCTGCCGGGCAATCTAAACCAGCTCCTATGGACGCCAGCGAGCTTGCGCAGGGCGTCATGGCGGTTCATCGCACGCCACTGCAGGAGGTAGTAAAAGTCCCTGAAGCGCCAGGGGATGAGGCCGAAGCCCGTGACGCAGAATAGGGCGTTGAGGATCTGCGAGTCGATTTCGATCCAGATTTTGCGCGCCGAGTTTGACGCTGAGCAACTCGAGTTGCACAGTGCGGGCGCGGCGTTGAGGAGCAGGAAGAAGATCATGGCGCCCCACGCTACGATGTTGAGGCCGTAAACTGTCACCAACAGGCCGAAAGGGGTGATTACGAAGCGGCCAAAGGCCTTCAGACCAATTATTGTGGCTTGGCTCCATGTGTGTTTTGGTGGGAAGCGGTAGCCGTTGGGATATGTGCCAGTTTCATCGGGGATGCGGGGAGGGGAGGCTGCTTGCGCGGATTTAGTATCTATGGCGCTTTTCACAGACAACGTGAGTGGTCGTTCTGTAGATTGACGCGATATGCAGTCGTCCCCTTGTTTCATGTATTTTCCTCCTGTAATTGTAATCGTATCATTGCCGCTATTCCATGAAGGAGCCGTATTACTCCGCCGTAAGTGAGCCGTTTGCTCCTGTTCCTTGAGAGCATTCGACTTCGTAACGGCAACGCGCGGCACAGAGGTATTTGCTCTGGACAATTTGAAACGCTGGATCTGGCCTTCCTCCGTCCAGCCATCGGCGCTGAAGCAGCCAGCACGGATCTCGTTGAGAGTTGGAGCGCGAGATGCAATATCTCCAGTTGCCATCCACATGCCCGAGGGCGGGTTTGACTCGAGGAATATCAGGGACGCGCTGCGGAGGCGACTAGAAGCGGCCGGGGAAGTATCGGAGGGTTTAGAAGCTCTGTCTGACCGTGTTGACGGGGGGGGATACTTGTTGGTTGGCGGGACTGGTGGGAGTTGGGCAGCGACGGGGGAAGGGGAAGTGGAGCCATTTCCCCTTTCTACAGAGGGGAACAGCTCCATTGCGCCGTTCTCTTGAATCTACATAGAATAATTGAAGTAATTTAGAAGGCCGATTGAGCGTGGGAAGAAAGTTTGAGTGTTGAATGGAGTGTGGAGGTGAAGGGACTCGGCCGTGGCGGCCTTGGAGGGAAGGGAACATTGGGACAGGCGGAAGATTCCATAGAGCTGGCAGCAGAGCACCAAGGGTTTGGAGCCGCCTGAGCAGAGCGCTGGCTAAGCGCCCGCCACTCAGACGGCCATACCGCAGACAAATAGTTGTGTACGGTGTACGTGCTCTGGAGTTTGATCAAAGGAATTGACTTGAAGCTGAAGGAGTGAGAAATCCCCGCGATGAAAGGTTGATTGGCTGCAGAGCAAGACGCAGGATTAGTCACCAGGCCGCTGTGTGCTAACTAGTTATAGTTAACTAACTACTAGAATACAGTCTGCAGTCTGTATGTATAGTTACAGGTTGGGGAAATTGGGATATGGGAAAGCATTCTCGTGTCTTAGATGGGTGGACTCGATGATTGTAATATGGGAGACCTGCTTCCCAGTAACTCTATCTGGATATTTTTGGTTGGGGTTTCAGTCTGATTCTAACCCACGGATTCAAGGTGTCTACCAGTTAATCGAGGACAAACAGTTCGTAGAAGGCTGATGAAACAAACAGAAAAAGAGATGCCCTTAGCGTACACATTACACGAGCACAGCACACCCTGCTCCACGCATTAGTGACAAGCTTTTCCGAATGATAACTCTTGTCCTTTGCTATATTTATATGAGGATCAATTCCATCATCACCTGCAAACCGGCTCACCCCACTCCAGAACCTTAAAAATACAATATCACAGCTATTCTTAGTATCTGAGAGCCCTTACGGAGTACTCTTCCTGCCTTTATGAAACGAATCAATCAATCAGTAGTTACTCGTATTTACTTGATTATTACGCTCTTCTCTTTCATTCTCCTCGAAATCTATAAAAGAACCCCCGGAAGGGCAAGATAATTGGCACTACAAGAAGAGAGTGCATTTCTTCCCCACTTAGTAAGTTACTGGATGGATTCGATGATGCCCATAAAAGATACCAGCTGGCAACATGCCAGTGGCGAATGGACACAGCGCAGTGCTTGGTACCGCCCAGGTACTCGCGATGGGCCCACCCAGCCAAAGACGTGGGCGCAGGTGACCTGGTTTTTTTTTTTTTTTTTTTTTTTTTTTTTTTTGCTATGATTTACTGATTATTATTATTATTATTATTATTATTATTATTATTATTATTATTATTTAGTTACTTTTATTTTATATTTTCTTACCATTTTGCCTGGGGCATATCTCAGTCTCACAGTCTCACAGTCTCTCAGTCCCCCAGTCCCCCAGTCCTCCCAATTCTCCCAATTCTCCCAGTAGATCTGTAATGCACAGTCCAATCCACTAACCTGGCTAGTTGTTCCCCCTTGGCGTTGGCGCTGCTTGGGGTCCTCGCCTTCTCTGCCAACAACACCAAACCCCTGCTGTGGAAGGATGGCCCTAGTCAGGTACACGGCTCTGGCTGGATTCGGCGCTCTGGCAGAGACGTCAAGAAGGATAAGGGGAACGATGATATCCTGCGGTTTGCAGTAGCGAATACACCAAATAATACCTAGAAGTACTCCGTACAGATTCTATAGATAAGATATTTACTAGTTATATACACACGGATTACATGACGCAAAATAAAACACAAAAAAAGGCAAACGACCAGGGCCTTAACTACCTAGGTACCCCGAGTCCAACCCAGGTGCCCGCATCCTGCACGCACATCTTTAATATCTTCTGTCCAGCTGCCGCCCAAATCACTAACTAGCTAGCTCACTTATTTAATAACATCGGGACCTTCCAGACCAGCCAGTGGGCACTGAGCCCCCGCCCCGGACGACTTCCTGTGGCAATAATGGCCTGCTGCGGCACACAAAACGGAATTTGCATTTTCTATTTTTTATATGCTTGCGGGGAACAGGAGGGAGATGGAGAGCGAAGAGGGTGGATGATGAGTGTAGTTATAGAATGTCAGGATAGATAGACAGCTAAATATTGTTAGTCCTGTAGCTGTACAATAAATACAAAACAGCGCCATTCTCTCCTCACGTCTCCAGCAGCGTTTTTATGGTTTGCGGTCCCTTTGCCCTTTTTCCCTTTTTACTCTTGTTTCCAACCCGCAAAACCGCAAACCCGCAAAACCTGTATTAATAACTGGCTCCGTTTATTTTATTTTATTTTTTTGTTTTCCTGCAATACTTTTTTATCTTCTGTCTTTTTCTCCTCCATCATCGCTTTGCTATCCCTCATCTCCCGCCGGCTCTCTCTTCTCTCCTTGGGCTCGTTAAATATTTAATTTTTCCGGCTTCTGCGATTCAAGCCTGGCCCGGGTCGTTGTTCCACCTCTCTCTGTTTGCCGCCAGGGCTGATTCCTCCACGCTCAATTATTGCTTCTTTTGCTGCGAATCCTCTCTCTCCCCATTATTCCTCTCGTCGTTTCTACCTCTTCTACAGATCGTTTTTTATTTCTCCTTCCCCTTTCGCTTCCTCTTCTCTGCTTCTCTTCCTCTTCCTTGTCCTTTTGCTCTCCTCTCCAGGTTGACGCCTCACGCTGCGCTCTTTCACGACAAGCTCTCCTTCTGAGACTTGCTGTGGAAGAGTTGAGTTCTTAAGAGTTGGTCCTGGCTTCTCTCCAAGAATGGCTTCTTTCAAGGTGATTCCTGGCCCTTTTCCCGGACCCTTTCTCATGATGGATCTGAATCCAATTAATTCCTCATGGGCATGGGATTGAACAAAATAACTAACTCCAAGACCCTCCTCTCAAAATAATTTACTCCTCCTCAGGAATCCCTCTCCTCCACGCCCTCAAGACCCATCAGCCATACCACGCCTCCTCTCCGCCAATCCAATGGCCGTCACCATTCCCACTCCGTCTCCCTCGGCGCCGTTAACATCAATCACCGTGTCACCCGCCGAAAAAGCATGACCTCCGCCGCTGCCAGCAGTGCCGCAACTGCCGCCGCCGTCGCAGTGGCTATGGGAGAGTCTCCTAGCTCTGCTGCACTATCCACATCCTCCTCCCACCTCCATCACCATCGACGAGCCCTGAACACTCGAAAGGCCGTCGAATCCACCTCCATGGGTGCTTCGTCAGGCTTTGCCTCCTACCTCGCCCGCAATGCCACCCAAGACGCTACCCCGGCACGCAAGAATTCCCCCAACTCCATTGACGAAAATACTGCCGTGGAAGATGTTTCCCCCCTTGCTGGCGGTACTGGTGCGGGGAACAATAGCAGCAGCAGCATCAGCAACGGTAAACCTATTAGTACGAAGCAACGGAGCCGTCGTGCCAGCGAGGGCTCTCACCTCATCCGTAGCGAAGGGAAACGCGTCATGAATGAGCTAAGATGTGATCGGTGTGGAAAGGGATATAAACACAGCAGCTGCTTGACGAAACATATGTGCGTATATCTATATATTGATATATATTTATTCCCTCTGTTTGATATTGGGTGTTGTGAACGGGTTTTTAAAATATCTCTATTTTCTTCCCGTGAGAGGTCAAGCGATTGGGCTGTGTGCTTCATGCGACACTGCATGCATGCCATTTTCACCCTCCGCATCTGATAAAGACCATCTACCTCATTTATCTTCGCGATATTTTCCACACACACACTCTCTCTCTATTTTATTCTTACCCTTTCTTCCCTTTCCCTCTTTTTTTTTTTTTTTTTTTTTTTTCAAATTTGAAGTTTTAAATCGCCCATTGGATCAAAGATATTACTATTTTTTATTTTTATTATTATTTTTTCTTTTGGGAAAAACCCTATTGACAATTGCTGAACAGGTGGGAACACAACCCAGCGTGGGCTTACACATCCAAGCTCCTCATCCTACAAGGACATCAGCAAGTCCAGCTCCTCGAAGCCGCCATCC